GATTAGAGGACCAACTGGGGGTGACCCCGCTATAGAGATTCGTTCCTCAGCGGGCGACCCCCATTCCTTTTTCCAAATACAACCCCGCTGGGAATAAACTCTGTAAGTGTTTTGATCCTTGAGATACAACTATTCTAATGATGAACCGTTCTCAAAGTCAATTGTGATCACAGATCAAAAACATCGGTGAATTTAATTGAGTAGTGTTTGGAAGACCCATGTAGTGAGAGCTCTGTTGTAAGCCGTACCGTGAAAAGTCGCACCATGGTGGGTTAATCGACGTCCCTAATAGGTGAGTTTACAACGGAGAAGTTACCTCATGGGGAAGAAAAAGAAACCCTTGCTCCCACCGATGCTGCCTTTGTAAAAAACTCCTTTGATCCACCGCTCAACCCCCAATTAGAAGGATATCTTGTAAGGACCAGAGCGTTTGGCATTAAGGTTTCAACAAATCCTTACCATCATCTCAAGGATCCCTGGACTGTATCATAGACTTAATGCTTACAATGGACATTCTTGTCAAAGAAAAAGCAAAAATATGACGGGGAAGAGTCTCATTATAAGGGGATAAGAACTTCTTTGATCCTTCAACCTTGTCAGCGTTTCCATACTGTAAGATCAGATCCAAGATGTGTTCATTATGGTAGAAATATGTCGAGTATTTTAACACGTTGGCCATTATACTGGCATTACAGTAGAATGGCCCTTCTTCAACAATATATGTCTTGTACTGTCAACACCACATGGTAAATGACCACTCGATTGGTAAAAGCCACGTCTATAGGTACAAGTAGCTTACAACTACGTGTTTATAAACACTAATAATACCTTAGTACATGCTATTGTTCCAAAACATTGCTATAGTTTACATGATGGTATATTGAGATAACCATAATATTTGAATTGTAATGAAGAGACCGCATGAGACAATGTGTTCGTCATGGTGCATATGTACCAGCATCGATTATGTATATATTATCGTATACATTTACAGCAAAATTATTGTTTTGTATGTTTTATGGCCAGCCTTCATGGTATATTATTAGCAGAGCGTATGAAGAATGAAGCTGGATTATAAAAAATATTGTCACAAATGTTCGCCTATGAACAAAGGGTTGTCAGATCAATGCTTTATCAAACAGATCATTGTTACTTTGATGACACACATAAACGTGCGCAGAAGCGATGAATGCGCCACCACCGTCATGGAACTCTATTGATTCTAGGATGTCTGCGACTGTACGTCTTTATTTCCGGTACAAAAGGAAGGTCAAGGTCACGTGGTCAGGTTTACCTTTCTACACGTTCGATACCTGAAAAAAGGACGCCTCAAATTGACCAATTTGCGAGCGTTTAGATGTTGCAGCCAATAATTAAGTACAAACGTAAATGTTGAACTGAAACCAAATCGATAATTTGTAAGCTTATTTTTTTTGTATGTAAACAATGAGTAAGCATCACTGTTTTAGTGATATAATAGATGTAACACTATTTTTGTCAGATATGGTTGTTAAAAATATTCAGTATCGCTAAAACCTCTCGTGCTTGTCACCTATCATGTAATTAAGAGAAAATGACTAGCTATCCTTGAAATAAATTCGACGGACTGCCGTTGATGGATTCCTTTCAAAAGAAGAAATTAACAAAAAGCATGCATTTTGTAAAAGCGATGACGGAACCAGGGCGTATCGCCTTCACGAAACTAGAAATTAATTCACTCTCGTCCTCATTCAGTGAATAGGGAACAAAATAGACCCTTTTCCTTCACGAAGGTCGGATTTAGTAAATTTCTGTTTGATTTAATGGAAATGAAATGAAAGGGTCTCTCTGGTCCCCGCCTTTTCACTCTGTCCCGTTCACCGTTTAAACCTCAGCGCTACAATTTTAGGCGTGTAAAAACTCCAGGGAAACGCTCTCGAGGAGTCTGAGCTTACTATCGATCAAGCATGCAGGAATGCCTTCGACATGTGCTTCAGAGTCTGATATTGCGAGAGTAAAATTAATATGTCCCCTCCTCAAGCTTTATCTGTCAAAAGTTTCAACAACTTCCTCCCCTAACAAATCCTTTATCGTAGTTAAATTGATAATCTGTTTGGATTGAGGACGGTTATGAACAAGTGTACAAGTTAGCCCACTGAATTATAAGGGTATAAGCGACCGAGGTAGATATTCCAAAAGGACCTGGATTCTTTAGTCAAACATAATGGGCTCTTTTCTTTCCGTGGTATTCTCCCAGCCGCCTGTCGTAGGTGATGTTTACATATATTAAACGCAATTGTCCCACTCGTTTTGAAAGTAAGCAACGTATGATTCGACTATACAGTGGGGAAATGTTGCAGATTTGGGGAAATAACAACCAAGGATGCTCAACAATGGGCTGTTCGTCTGCATCTCCTAGTTGTACCGCGTTGGACTCATTGAAACAGACCAAGCACACACTAGTCCTCGGTTAGAGAGCGTTGACAGACGATTAGTGTAGAATAATGTGTGAACTCCTAGCCGAACACCAACCTTAGTAAACACAAACCATTGTCGCCATGTTCAAAATCTAACTCGGCCTTCTGAACCAGTTTGCTTATGGAAACGAGTTGTGTTAAGTATGAACTGAAGGACGTGGAGCTTTTGCTTCCGTATTTGAAAAGAATCTTAATTTGTGTTTGAATTTGTATTTTTGGGAAGGTGCGAATGAGGCCAAGCCCTTCCAGTTTTTCAAAGAAGATACCTTGTTGCCATATACGTAGAGTATGCAAAACTGTTGATTCTAGCTTGTTAAAGAGATAAATTGTAGAGACGTATTTTCTTTTCTTTGATATGAAAATAAGTGTATAGTTCTGAGAGCTCTCGTTCCGAAAGTCGCGTGTTTATGCTGGGAAAGAATGTTTGTTTCATTTGCAAATAAATTCAACATTTTATTCACAGGGTTAAGTTTGCCTGGGAGATGTACTGACGAATCTTACAAACAGGCGTTATTCTACAGTGAATAATTTATGAAGGCATTGCCTCGTTGGAATGTGAACAAACAAATGAATTGGACTTACATATAAAGTGTCAAATCTTCACAAATCATTCCCGTCAAATGTCAGCGTAGCTCTTTTTACAAATGTTGTTGTTTCGTACCTTTATAAACACAGGGAACAGAGTTCCGTGTTCCCCATTAATGTTTTATTCTCATTTCGTTTCCAAAGTTTATCTTACTCTCAATAAACAGAATTTCCACAAAGCCAAGTATTCACACCAATCATCAAATGAAATAATTGGAGATAAAAGAAACGAGAATGGAATACATTATTAATATATTTCAGTAAGATAACTTTTGTCGCCTAGATAAGAAAACACAAATAACACTTTCAATTAAATGTTTATTTTACAATAATTATTTCATTCGGGCATCATAAGGCAAATGAGATGAAATTCTGGATTCTATTTTTTATTATGTTTGAATCAATTGAATTTCACAGTTTATTTTTCATAATATTTTGATATAAATATCCTTTGTTCGTTTTAATTTCCCCCAAACACTAACGTCTTTATTTGATTTAAATAGGCTGAAATTAAGATAAACAAACACAGATTATTACAATAAATGTGTCATCAACTATTGTTTATCAAAACGTGCCATTTTCTTGTACCATTATTAAATTTTGCAGGTATTCCCTATCAAATAATGCTGAAATTTTGCTTTTTTCTAATATCGAGCCATCTTGCTCCAGGGCAAGTCCTCACGTGACTTGACAATGGCATGCAATCCGTGCACAATCTGCACGTGACAGCTCAATATGTGATGACGTAATACACATAAAACTATATCACACCTTCCGCTGGCCTAGGTGAAATGACTGCCTCCAGACTGGAGTTATTGATTTATTTCATCCTGATCTGGTGAAAGTGAAGATGATTATACAACGATACGTTTGTTAGTAAATGGTTTCTATACGGAGATCTTTGGGTGCATAATCCTTTTTATTAAATTTGTTTTTGACCCAAACCTTGATATTGTTTTCACCGTATATTCATTTCAAAGCAATGAATATTTCGTCAAATTGTGTTGGGTTTATATATTTTCCCAACATTGTATTACTGTATATATTTTTTTTTACTTTTGGAATTCACATAGTTATTTCAGTATAATATTTTTCCATTTTAAATTTTCACGGAAGCATACCGACCTAGACATCGACAATACTGTCATCTATGCCCGCTCAGACGTACTAACACAAGCTCAGCGTACAATTAAAACTTCCACAGCGTATTATCATGAAAAATTAATTACATTTTCCTCCGAAATATCATTCACCTTGCCACTTCTCGTGTAGAAGCATCGATTGATACCTACAGATAAGAGCGGACACTGGGTGAAACCAAGGATAACTGTCTTTCTAAGTAACCCTCATTTACAAGCGGACATGATGATTAATGTACTTCTCTCTGAACGCTCTTAAAGTGACCGAAATAATAACTTTATTCTCACACTTTTAATAAAATATTCAGCTATTTTCTGTAAGTATAAAACACGTGCATCCAGTACTTGCCTGCGCCAGGTACTAAATAACAATGAAAAGCGCGAGTTGTTCGTCATTCGGCCGAGAAATCGTGTACATAAACAAACCAGACCCCTGTTTCTCTCCTATCTTTGATCTAACTTTACTTGTGACAGGTAAAGGAACGAAAGCTTTGATCTTGCCGCTCCGCTTGACAGTCACCCTTACTGAATCTTAAGGCGTTGTCAAATACCTATGACAGTAGCCTAGAAATATGCACAATATTATCAACTAAGATTTTAACATTAATATTTATATTTAACCTGTGACACGATACATACATAAATAAATATGTGAACATGCAAAATCATATTCATGAACTAATCTCGCAATTAATTTGAATATGTTGTTTTCTAGACTTGTTTTGATGCTTATGCTACAGTTCAATATTTATTGTTTATTTTAATACGATTCATTGACACCATTTTTCACGATCTCAGATGTGGATTTCTTATTTTTCAGCACGTGGATGATAACACAAACTATATACATGGAGACCAAAATACTGTTATACGAAAAGGTAAGTTTTATTATATTTTTCTTTAAACGATAGAAACACTTAAGGAATAAGAATTTCCAATCTAATGTAAGTGTGAGAAAGCAACCTTTATGGAAAAGACATTTCACGTTTAGATTAAATTAATTCAAATTTTTATCAGATTTTCTTTTTCCTAGAAACTTCCCCATGGGGAATCTGTTGATTGATTTGTGCTGCAAAAATATTTACCCTTCTAACTCAATTTCATTTAACACATTGCGTGGAAACCTACTTTCTAAATTTCTCCAGACAAATCCAGCTTACTTTTGCGAATTGTGTTTTGTTGCTGGGGTAAAAGCGGAACCTTTAAAAAAATTATTAGAATTTTCGAAAATCGTTTAGATTAAAGAAGTCAAATTTGGCTCACATTTTCCCTTAACGAAATTCTTGTTAAAACTCAGTGAATCATTCTTTTAGAAATAGTTATTTTATCATCGTTGCTAAACTGTTAATAGAAGACACAAATCAGGGCTATTTATTATTAACTGGAGGCAATGTATTTTCAGGGAATTTTAAGCCAGAGTAAATCATATTATCATATAAATCGCACAACAATGTGAACATTTCCAGTAAATATAAAAGATGTATTCATCCACAATTTTCCATAATTAGGGAAAGTTACACTACAAAGGTGTTGCTTTTCACAACGTTAGACCTGAGGCTATCAGTATGAAATATAATGATCTCCTTTAGCATCCAGGAGTAGACAAGGCCGGGAAGGAGTAACAAATGTACTCTCATTATATTAAACCCGACACGATCGCTGTACTGACTCCATCGTTGTTCGTCGGTGTTGCATTTCCCATTTTGACAAATTAACATCTTTCTGCTTTGACACCTTGTAATTTTATACACCTGAAGTTAGTTCCCAATTTGATTCAGCGGCAGCGAAGATAGAATCACAAGGCTTGGTCGGATACGCATCAGAATCTAATCCTTGATACAAACCCCGAAAACAGCTATTTGAAAGGGGCTTGCCTCCCTTTCCCTTGGGCAATACGCCCTTTCGGATTTGTGGTAGTTTAGATCGGCGTGGCCCGGCGCTTACTTCTCATATTTATAATTTGGAGAAAAAACCGCCCCGTGTGTAGCCAAGGGTGGCATGGCTGAGGTTTATCATACCAAAAGGATAGTCGTGTGTGTCAGGAAAATGACGACAGTCCTATAGGGGTACACCGAGCTCGCCTCATAAGCTTCAAACAGAGCTAATTGTCGACTGTCACACTGGTTAGGAGGCAGAAAAAAATCGTCGTGTCGCTGGAGGCCATTTTGGGACAAGACAACGCATGAAATCCCGTTGTCGCAAGAAGGGATAAGATTGATTATTTTCTTGACTAGTTTGGAATAATTAAAAACACATGTATACTTAGTTCACGGGTCTACATTGCTTCAAATTGTGATGAGCAAATAATTTATTTTGATATTGATGCTGGTGTGACTCTTTTAAGGAAACGTATGCCTTGATTGTCGGTCAGCCCATCGCCCTAGGATCGGGGTCTTAAGAGAGAATTCTTGTAAAATTCCCAACACTTCTGCGTTTCCTCTGATAAAATTGAAAACCTACTCATTCCGAGGCACATCGGATTTTGACTTTTGATAGGACTGAGCTTCCCGGGTTTGATTGCCCTGGGGGCGTTCTCTAAATTTGATGGATTAATACTGGAGAAAGCCATGTTCCCGTTTCCACTTCGTGATTCGTGAATAGAAAACCGTCGTCCAATTCCATTCCCGAAACTCATGGGTGAAAAGTTAAGCCTTGTTTCACACTTGCTCTGTGCGTTTTTACAAAGTTCTGATTAAGCAAATCAGGTTCTAAAATGGGTGTCCACGTGGGAAACCTAAAATTATTCGTGGCCGTTGAGATTTGAACTCGGGAGAGAATTTAAGAGGTAAATAGAGTCGATTGTCACTGTGAAGACGTGCAATAGTTGATATCATAACTATTAGGTTCCGAGGTCCTTCGCCAGTGTTGATCTGGCAAATTAACATCGTTTGTAGCCAATATTTACAAGTCTACTTGACTGAATGGAAGGGTTGCAATTCGTCATGGTCGCTGTCAATTGAAAACATTGAGCAAACGTGTGCTGTTATATTACTCCACCAAAGTTAATTGCGCTTACGTTCAGCGCATGCGTTGCACTTGATCACGTGACTTCCGACATATGGCGGGTTTGTCGGCAATAGAACTGGGAAAACTTCCGTCTACAGTTTTAATCAAATGACATGAATAAAACATACTATCTGATAAACTTTTAATAACCACATTTTCTTCATCGTGAGAAATAAGTCCTTTTCTCACGCGATGCCAGCACTAGAGATATGAGCGAAATTGAGTAAGCAGATTAATTCTATTGCTTGTAAGATACTGCCTCGCCTGACGATATTTGGTATTGATTTATAACATTTTATCAACTTATCAATACGGTTACATCATCCGAAGCAAGGAAAACATGTTGGAATCTGGAAAAATATAGATTATAATCTAAAACGAATTAAACACTTTTATTCAAAGAGAAATAAGGGAGCGAGACGGCCTCTTATGCTGAATGTTTACAATGAGAGAATGACAGACCAAAAGTGCCAGTGTAAATATTTGATCTTCGAAATGTCTACATCGAATTTAAAGTTCGTTATAATTGGATATTTTATTCTAGGCTGACACTCCAGCTATTCTATATTAGTTTCAAAGTGAAATGACAGATAAAACTCATTCATTCAAACCGAGAACTCGCAGACTCTCGCCAGGTCTCGTCTGGGTCCGAGACATCAATTCAGCCCAAAAAGATCTTTTTCGTCCGAAATTAAATAACAATGTTTATTTTATTTTCGAAACAGCAGGGGGTTCGTCAAACAGAAAGGGTTGTTGAACGTTTTCAGGGATGCTTTCGGTCGCAAGGAACGCTCTTGTCGCTGTATCTCATTTGTCAGCGCCCCCTGTTTAGGAAGGCACTTCAGGAAGAGAACAACATGGCGGGTCTTTGTTTCCTCCCACAATTCCATAGAGTTGAGTGCGCGCGCCTGTCCATTCTCGCATTTGATTGCCCCTCTGTATGCTCCGCTCGCTGACATCTCAAGTCGCTATCGGTCGTTTTAGCACAAGACAAATCCAATTTTTGATCATTCAGATGTTTTGAGAATCCCCTGATAGATCAATTATTAGCTAGCGTGTTCAGATCAAAGAGGCATGCTGAGATCAGCGTAATTCAGATCTCGCCCGTCCATATGATGCGATAAAAGCACATATGAATGCGGGCCATAACGATTTGTTGAACTAATGACGTATAAGAGAAAAAGATTACATTCTACCGCAGTCTGAGGCGGCCGAAACGCGCGATGCCCGGCCCGAACATCTACAGACTAACCGTCTGATCAAACGGCGCTGAGCAGGCTGCCTTTTTTCGCCACAGGAAGCAAGATGAGAAATTTCCGTCAATCTGGGCAGGATAAATATTTGTTCTGTTTTGATTATCAATAAACCTCGCTCAGGTAGCTTCCAAATTGCAGGGGTTTGCACTGCGAGGTAACGTTAATGGCAATATGTCGGGGAGACCGTTGATGTTCGATGCACTGGCATGTGTTTAGCCGACCTTCAATCAGCCATGCATTGATGAGGTCACCTATACTGCTGCCTCCGGTTTAGCCTCGCTGTATAAATATATAGTTTACAGAATAATTCTTGTGACAAATCCGTTTGAGCACTTTATAAAAACAATACTTCGTGCTCAATTAATTTACATTTCTAAGTGTTTTCGTAATGACATTTTTACACTTTTTAATGGTTTTTTTTTATGAAAAACATTTTCATTTCTTTCTTAAGTACCGTTTTAAACAAATTATTTCAACAACCATTTATTACCTAGCTACGCTGAGAACATCCCGTCACTGTGATTAATGTTCGACCTTTAACCTAAAGATGTAGACTGAAATGATAACATTCATGTTACATTCTCCACCGGAGCTGATATGATAGATTAGAGGCTCAAATAAACCATTATGTAGCATATCGTATCCAATCAACGTCCTATCTTCATAAATGCTTAAGGAAGCTTTTGTTTCGTTACAAAATAAGCGTCTATGCTTCCTAAAATGACACTGAAAGAAACGGAAGCTTATCTGATTTGGTTTGAGTTACAACAGCCAATAAAAACAAAGGAAATATTCAGCTCGGTACTTGCAAGCGTGAGGGTTAATGTCGATGTGTTCTTTATTTCGCCTGGAGCTACGCTGTTGAAGGTCGGGAGAAATGTCGCAAATCAGGGTCAGAGGTCGCGTTCGGGTTGCTCCCCTTGCCGCACGTCATAATAGAAAGGGGCTTTTAGGCAAGGCGATTGAGACAGATTTGTGTCATTCAAGAAATGGTTGGGAATATCAGTGATTTGGTCTGTGATAGAGTTGGATTTAACGTTGGCAATTAATAAATGGTCGTCGGCTGTCATTCCCAGCTGCCGGCTAATGGCACGTTGACATCCTGGTAGATGACTCGGACGCCGAGCACCCTAAAAAACCAAAATGGCCGCCCAGTGGGGTCCCTTCGTAGAGTGTTTGAGGATTTTATGACATGTATTTTAAGACAATTTACTCGAAAATGTGCCTCCGAAACGTCAATGGAAGTGTGAATTTATCAAAAGAACTCTTCACGGGGAGGATAATTTGAAATTGCGGGACAAGCCGTACGAAAGGCGTTGAACTTTCAGTAATTATCAGCACATAGATTTTTCGCTTAAAGATCTAATTAAAGGGTCTTTATCTTTGCAGCCGGAATCCGACCCAAGAACGAAAACAATAAAGATCTGGTCATTTCAGGCGTGGTTTCCCCTACCGACGTCTTCTGTTCTGTCCCTGGTCGCCTGTCCCTGCTTAGCTCAACGTCAAAATACAAGGTCACGGTCGCAGAAGTGCAGAGGAGATTGTCTCCCCCTGAGTGTCTAAATGCTTCCCTCCTCGGTGGCGTCCTTAGAAGGTAAGTGTCAAAATCCTTTATTCGTTCATGATTCAAACTGTAAATAAGTACAACACGTAATAATCCGCTAAAGACTGTTCTGTTTACAAAGGGATGAAGTCGTACTGGTGGAATGTTATAACAACAATAAACATTAAAAAGTAATAATAATAATTTGCTAAAGTGAACTGAACTCTAGTATTATTTGAAATAGACATTTTCAGCCTCTCCAGTGTGCTTATTATTATCATCACCACCGAGACACTACTCGATATAATCTCCGCCCTTTTGTAAAGCGTACAGCTATTAGTGGTGTAAAGAGCGTGCGTTGTAATGGATATAATGTCAAGACGCATGGAGGCTATCCTTGTCCGGCCTTCAGGTGTGGTCAGGTAACTCAACACCTGTCCAGCCACCTTTCAAGTATCTATCATCGCTGACCATTGTCCCTACGCCAGCATTGCTTACCTTCGTTCTCCTTGTTATCACATATACATGACCTACTGAAACCAAGAATACATTTTTCTGCTAGAAATCCGCGCAGCTTGTTCAAACGCCATTGTGCTGAGCGTCAACGAACGACAAGCCCATGGTTAGTCGCTTGCGTTCATTTCACGCTTAGCTGAATCAGGTAATGAACTGGGTCTTCTCCGATCCTTCATTGAGTCCTTCACAAGGAGGCTGGAGTGAGCTTTTTAATCATGTCTCTCCGATCTTGTGTCGCCGAGACCCCCTGCTGATGGACATGACACCCCACCAAAACCGTTCTAACGGCCTTTGACACTATTGGTTTTCCTTTTATAAAACCCCCGAAACCATGACAATACGGCCTTGTTGTGTTTGTTAAGGCGAAGCGGCGCGGAGATGTTTAGGCTTTCTTGCTACATGAGGAACTCCTGTATGCCTTTATAATGCAGACTTCATATGCACTTAGTAATGTCTTGTTTACTCTCTATAGCATTTTCACGCCAGATTTCATGACAAAGTGGCCCTGCCTGTGATCGTCGGGAGAAAGCAGTGTTCGGGTCTAGTTTACGATGAGTAAAGTGCGAACAATTATCACCTCCACAGGAGAACCGTGGTGATCGCTTGACTAACAGGAAATGTTATACTGCCGCGATGATTACTGCAGATTACTAGGTTCGCTCGCAAGAAAATGCCGTCTACAATTTCAAAAGGAAATAATTTTTGAAATTTGTCTGTAATGACTCAGATGAAAGGTGAATCACATGAAGATAGGACGAAAATGGTCCCCAAATCATTTCATAATGCATGCTAAAAAAATGCACTGAGAGCTGTGCTGTGAGAAGATCAAAGAATCCTATCGCAGATCAAGTTGAACGAGTAATGTATAAAATCCTTGAGATAAGTGTTTGAGATATACTCTCACGTGGATATCAAAGCACGTGTTTGTCACATTGATTTCAAAACATCCTCCCCATCTTATGTGATTATATCATTCGGAAGGAATCATTCTTTGGTCATGATGCCGCGTATGAGAAACACTTAAAGAAAAGTACAACAGAAAAATATAATTAAGCTAAAGCATAAGTGAAGTAACGCGATTAACTGTCCTCAAAAGTCTTTCATATATCTCCTTTCCAAGTAGCTCAGTCGTCTTTGATCTCAATGGTGGAACATAAGATGGTTGCTTATAACACTGCGCTGAAATTTTGAAGTTCGCTCCAGGGTTGAAAGTGTCTGAGTCAAAGAAACTTCAACTCGAAAACTCGCATCAGCACAAGTAGAATTGTGGAGCTATCCAGTGGAACACAAATTCAGCTGAGAGCCTGGAAGAGTTCTACAGAGAAAAGGACAATGTCCTAGGACCTTTCGTGTCCTTTTGGCGCGTTCAAGCCAGACGTCTGATCGTCTGGTGTGGCAGTGTCTATATTTCAGAATATCCTTGGTTCTGATCAGTAGATTGCCATGGAAACCTCCTAACAGCCCACGGTAGTGGAATTCGCCAGCAAAAACGCTCAATTTCTCATCTCTGCTAAAGTATAATGCACCTAAAAATCCATAAACGCTATTGATAGCATTCCGAAGCATCAAACGAAATCCGCTAACCCTTCAGCTGAGTCGAACCCCCTTCTACAATTTGCTTGTTTTATGAAGTGTCGACTCAATTTGTCTACAATGTAATGCATCCTTGAATGTCCAAACAGGGAGGTAGGAATTTAGCGATGTTGAGAGCTCGAGTGACTATGAATTGCATTGGGCGATAATTATTGGAGTAGGGGCTTGTGAACTTCACTATATCCCGTGCCGTAGCAGGGAATAGGGGTCGGAGTGATGGGGGAGGAATCACTGATTACATTCTCAGGGGTGGGGGTGAGGGAACGAGGGCCCATTATAGTTTATTGATTCAATGTTTATATGTATATTTGATTTTTTATATATATTTTTCTAGGAGAGGGGTCATTTATTTCTTTGATCTTTTTCGTGTGGTTTTTTGTTTGTTTTGGGTGGTGTTTGGGGTTTTTATTCTGTTTTGGTTTGGTTTGTTTTTTGTTGGTTTTTTTGGGGAGGGGGTGTAGGGAAACTAATTATTACTATGTAAATCAACACAATTGTACTTTTTATGTATATTTTCTTTCTGAAATATAAAAGACAATTCATTTATCGGTATCGTAGAAAGAATTACAACCACATTTCTCGATAGTATAACCAAATACATCAGCAACAATTAAATACTACGTCACTATATTAACTTCTTTATAATGCAAATACGTAGCGCATGCCCAAGTGTTCATCAAATAACCTCATACGACCACATAAGGTAGGGCCTCAAACCGCGATAAGTCAGCCTGTTGTGACGTGGCAGACATGTTTAACGACATCACGTGCTTCCGGTTATAAGGTTATGAAGTCACGGAAAAACACAAACAAGTCACGTGGTTTGAAAACACCAAGTTATCTTCTCGGCTACAAACACGGTTCTTTTTTTTGTCCTGGAAATTTCTCAATACCCATCGACTTTCCTTCTTCATCCGTTAATATTGTCTGGTGAGGCGCAACTCTGAGTTCAGGGGCCTGTGCGTCTCTCCCAATTAGTCGCAATCCAAGCCAGTTCAAGAGTTTTCGGCATACGCAGAACCCAGGGAGCTATTGTCCATGTCTGGAGCCGCCAAACACGAGCAACCGACTCATTGCCTTGAACAAATCCATTTTTCCCTGGAGAGGAGTTTGCAAACAACGTTCGTCGTGTCTCTTTTATTCGCCAAGAAAAGAGGATTGCAGAGTACTTTCTTGTCAAACTGTTGGAAGTCGAAAGAAGGAGGGCTGAAGTGCTCTTCCACGAAACATCAGAGGAATTCCTGACGAACAGGCCATGGTCCGATTCGTATCCCTTCACCAAGCACTCCTGTCGCTTTGCAAAAAAGTAGTCCTTCCACTGAAGTGTAGACATACGCCATATGTTACAGCTTAGCAGACAAACAGACCGCATCGCTATCATGTCATTCGATCAATCCTGAAAAATAGTGCTATTTTTAAACAAGCTGTTCCGAAAAGAATGTTCCGATTTCAAGCTAAGGTTCCCGATAGTAGTTGTTAATTATAGGGAACATTTGGGTGTTTCTGAGTGAGATATTTCTGTCTTCGTTACCACTTGACAGTTGTCGGAAACGTCGAGTTTGTATAAATACCATAAAGTTAACGAGTCCTCTTTAATTAGACGTCTCACGTTCCAGTGAGGAGAAAGTTAATTATTTGGCTTTGCCATCTTAACCCGACATGTTGTACTGGACAAGTGGGACTGAAAGTCGCTTATGATCTCTTGAAACTATGGGAGGGTGATTACGCCAAAATCGGGCTAATTTAACACTTGTCCAACCAGTTTGCTCACCAGGTGTCTGAGGAAGCGAGTTGATCAACCAATCACAGACGTGATCGATCGGCGGATCACTCAATCCCGATCATGCTTAAAGAGGCCGTGGTGAACTATGGCAGATGCCGGGCGAGACGAGTGTGGAATTATGTAGATTCGATGAGCTGCTGCGAAAATGGATTAATACGAGAAATGGCTCTCGGGGACTCTCATCCGTAAAAATCTCTGTTCGAAACGGGGAATTAACGAAATTAGGGAGGTCCAAATTTGTGTCGATAATGATGACCCCTTATTGGTGATTTGTCTGCCTTGTGACGAGTGTAAATTACATTGCGGTGTCTTACTCGCGCCAGCTGTCTGCTTTCCGGTAGTCGTAAACACAACTTACCCAACCTAGTCCTCTTTCCGGTAGTCGTACAGGCGGCATAAACGTCTCTACACGTTTTTGAATAAATGACAGTCAACAATAACTACTCCGTTATGGTGAAAATCTAAATAATATCTTTGTTTTTTCAGAGCTAAGTCCAAGAATGGTGGTAGATCTCTCCGAGACAAATTAGAAAAGATTGGTCTCAGCCTACCAGCTGGCAGAAGAAAGGCAGCGAACGTTACGCTGCTCACGTCACTAGTCGAAGGTATGCATCATTCATCCGTGCATGTACATAAAGTAATAAAATAACTCAGGAAAAAGATACATTTGAAACTTCAGTGTCAGGCTGTCTTGACATGTCAAAAATGTTAAATCTGATATATTTTTAAACATATATCTTATAATCAATAAGCGTTTTGTTAGAACATATCGTTTTGAATTATTCAGTAGGGAAGTCACAATTATTTTTAACTCATATTTTATTTATTTTGAGATGTATGATATATGTCCTTTCTTTTTAACAGGCGAGACAATACGGCTTGCACGAGACTATGGATATATATGCGAGACAGAATTCCCTTCACGACAATGTGCTGAATACAACCTCCGACAATATTCGGATCCAAGCGATACCCACAATAGAAAAAATATGGTCCTAGCAGCGAAGTAAGCATCATAACGAACCCTCTTTATATAACATGCATATAAATTCATCACAGACGGATAATAACATGAAACTTGACCACCTTCAAACATTTTTTAATTTGTTAAAAAATACATATTGGATACATACTTTTTGATATTTTATCAAAATTCATCTTTGAACATTATTATCTCTGTTCAAAAACTGTGTTAAAAACATGACGGAATTTTTTCAAACATTGACATTAATATGATTTAACGAAAATTGACAAGTTAAATGTAATTATCATATAGGGATTCCATTTATAACATTGATTGCCACATATTACTGCTGATTATCGAGATATTAACAACACGTCCTCAACCGCAACGCAGGAAATAAATATTTTTTTTCGACACTAAATATCATTAACGCACTGTTGCGACGTCCATCTTCCTAACTACTGAAATTATCCTCGAGAAAACTTTTAAGTAACCCTCCCTAAGCCTCAATACAAGTCCGCGTCCAGATATAGCTTTCTCCTTAAGATATTGACTCTCAGTTTAACACGGTCGCTAGTTGCGCGAAATCCATCAATTTCCATTTCAACACAACCTGTCAAATTGATGGGATCTGATGTTTGAAATGTGTCCTAAATTGCTTAATGTTTTCACAGGTAGCTTATCCGTTTTCTCTGTGAATTAAGCGTCTTTACGCTAATTATTTGAAGGAGGAAGGATAGGGAAAATCATTGGGAAATCGATGATTGAATTGAAAGAGAATTTTCACTTAGTTAGATCGTCTTGAAAATAATCACTGATTTCCAGGTTACTTGCAATTTGATCTTAGAGGAGTTATGTTGGATTTGCTGGATGTGTCAATAATATGTTTGTCACATCCTGTTATCTACACTAACTAACAAGACGGAAACATTCACCATAAGCTTACATTTTAGCACGCTATCAATATCGTAGGGTTTAAACTACCAGTATTGTACGAAAATATGAGTTCACGGGTAAATGGATATTTATTTAATGCTAGATATCATGTGTAAATCTAAAATGGTATTTTCTGAGTAAAGTTTAACGATTTTTTTCAAATGTTATGCATTTGAAAATTATATTTGAATATCTGAAAAATATGAATAATGAAGCTAAATGGATAAAATTATTTTGGAATGTTTTTTGTGTTTATATATTATTTATTCCTTGTTTTATCTTTTTAGGCAGATCGTGAAAGAACTGACGGATCTCCTCAACCAAGATCGGTCGCCCCTGGGTAATACCCGGCCACAGCCAATTCTGGAACCGAATATTCAGCGTCACCTCACGCACTTCAGCCTGATCACCCACGGGTTCGGATCCCCAGCCGTTATCGCCTCATTGACTGCTGTGCAGAGTTACCTAAATGAAATGTTGAAGCTCCTTGATAAGAACTACCCTGCCTCTCAAACGGCGCAGGTGAACCCGACAGTACCTTCAATGGACGGTAATGGTAAATCTAAGAGCGATAAAGATGAAAATCGACGCGAATAGCAGGATGGCTGACTCCTGGTGAGAGTTCCTGATGCTGCTAACACCTCGTATGTCTGTGTCAAAAACGTGTGGACAGCTCCCGCAAGAAATCTTTACGTCACAAGTTTGTGTGCTGACGTCACGGGTCATGTGCTTGCAGGGAATGCCGGGACATTCCATAAACTGCGGATGTGTGTTTAAAGCGGGGCTATTTAGTCATTCCGTCTGTGAAGTGATGTCATATCGGAACATTGGTGCAAAAAAAATACGTCTCTGATGTGGCCATTACGTCATCAGTCTGCAGGGTATATTGTGACGTCATGAATGACGTCATGTGTGCGTGCATGTGGTGCATGAGTCCAGAAGTGTCAACTACAGACAATATATTTGATCCTCTGGTTCTCGGTTTTGCTTGGGCAGTGCTCAAGATGACATTTTCCCCACATTTAACTCAAAAAGGAAAGCACGGTTTTCCTTCATAATCTGTCTCAAAGGACGTTACCATGACAACGGAGGTAAACACATCTCCGACACGTGAATAAAGTCACGTGACATACGTAATTCACCAAATCTATCCCCCCTTGCCTTTGTGAATGTTAACTATCAGAACTCTGTGGACTGGTTTCAGTTTACAGGATATGTAAAATAGACGGGTAGATATACTTTTCTTAGTTTTCTATGAAATGAACGAAGTTGCATTCCTCCGTTATTTGACGTAGCGCCTAATAATTGTTGTACTACGTTCTCCCTGTGTCCTTTGTATATTTGAGAGACCACTGTGTATGATATTACCATAAGCGTCCGTACAGAGACGTGTGATGTTATTTATTCTAGTCCAAAAAATGCTATTTGCCTGAATACATACTTCATAAGAGAAACAGTGTTACCGCCTTTTGGAGAAAATAGTATTACTCATCCCCAAATTAATTGTTATTTATTTTCTTTGGCATACTTAGTGCACGATCACCTTGATTAATTTATGAACATACTGTTTTCTGCAAAGACCGGTAGCATTGTTCAAACCTCGAGCCTCATAATCTGTTGACAGCAGTTTTATGCTTTTCCTTTTCTACTTATCTCCCCAAATTTAAGAAAACACTTGAACTATTGTTCCTTTCAGAACGAGACTAACTTAAAGTGAATTGTAAAAAATGTCATTTTATTATTTCTTACCGTGAAAACGGGTCTATTTACATATCATGTGTACGGTTATGACCAAAATTTGTAGGTACCAGTCCCATAATGGAATAAAGTGGGTCAAAATACTCATTTCTTTTGTCTTGACTAACATCAAACAGCATTACACAGTGAAATGGGAACGGCACGGTCAATAATTGATGCCTCTTGGAGCTATATGATTGGTCAGATTGCGCAAAGGGACCAATCTGATTGGTTAACCTTGCCACGTACTCTAATGTACCTGATGGTGTTATAATTTATTAAGATACGTCGTACAAATGCTAGATCGTTATTAATTGCAGGACGAGTGATGTTTTTATACGCAATATCAAAACCCACTGAAGGAAGTATGCGGTTGACATTCGTCTATTGCATGTTCCCAACTGTCAATTTCATGTCAATCAAATGGTCACAGTGATTGATATACACATTGATTGATGGATGCTGATAGATCGTCTGTAGATTGCATATCCAGGAAGCGCTGCTGATTCTCATGTATGCATAATAACACGTTATACAGTACGCGGAAATGTGTGTGAATTAACCGATGCATGCATTTTATAAATATTATATATCTAATTCAATACAAACATCGCTTTAGACATTTTCAAAATGAAATATTATTAGAATACAGCGATTATAACTTGACATCTCGACATTTTCGAATTGCACATATACTTCAGCCTTCTGTACAGTATTCCTAAAGATCTGTTGATTTATATTAACAAATTAATATTATGAAATCTTTCCAAGCAATAAAACATTTAGGTTGGATATTGCCAAGCGGTTAAAACACATACAGCATATCCGAGTCAGAATTTCTGCTCGGATTTACACAGTCAACACAATTCTGTTTGGCCAAGAAGTTTTCCTGAAGCTTTTGGTATATGGGTGATCTGAAATCGTTCAGTAGCCATGAACTAGCCCATTTCCTTCCGCTGGTGTGAATTCCACAAAAGTGAATTAGATGGAAACGAAACCAGTGAGATCACCTCATCTCTTTCATATTTACATACATGCATAATGATATAGAGTAACAGAACCCACACACGAAACTGTTTGACAAGAGGGATACAATTGGCATTTTTAGGTACTGTCGAGCATGCCAATACTGTGAGATTTCAAAGGGCGTCTCTTGCAAAAAAATGAAGTTGTTTGATCAGGGTAACAACACCCATGGCTCTACCTTTCAAAGGGTTTCGTCGCAGACATGTGGTAGCTTCCGTGTTATTTCATTTGAAAAGTTGACTTGCATGTGTTTGTGATGGGGATACCGCTATGGCTGAATACGCTCACATTTCACAAACTCCTGGTATCCTCACTAGTTTATAGTGATTAATACGCCTACTCGTATGATACTGGCGGATTCTTGAAAATTGACTCTATGCCATTGATGACAATACAGAATACAGACCTCTATAAGTATGGATCTAAATACAGAAATATAGACTGCTTTTCGCATAGATACAAGTCCAGAAATATAGGCCTTAAAGCGGATAGAAGGAAACACGGAAATAAATTCCTCAAATTGATAGATAGAAATACAGAAATATAAGCATTTATATCATAGGTTGCAATACACAAAAATAGTCCTCAAATGGAAAGAAAGGAATACAGAAATGTAGGCCTCAAATGGATAGAAAGGAATATAGAAATGTAGGCCTCAAATAGATAGATAGAAATACAGAAATATATACCTCTATTTTGATGGATGGTAATACAGAAATGTAGGCCTCAAATGGATAGAAAGGAATACAGAAACATAGGCCTCAAATAGATAGATAGAAATGCAGAAATATATACCTCTATTTTGATAGATGGTAATACAGAAATATAGGCCTCAAATGGATAGAAAGGAATACAGAAACATAGGCCTCAAATAGATAGATAGAAATGCAGAAATATATACCTCTAATTTTGATGGATGGTAATACAGAAATGTAGGCCTCAAATGGATAGAAAGGAATACAGAAACATAGGCCTCAAATAGATAGAAATGCAGAATTTTGATGGATGGAAACATAAATAGGCCTCAAATGGATAGAAAGAAATACAGAAACATAGGCCTCAAATAGGATAGAAACATAGAAATGCAGATGGATGGTAATACATAAATGGATGGTAATACAGAAATGTAGGCCTCAAATGGACAGAAAGGAATACAGAAACATAGGCCTCAAATAGATAGATAGAAATGCAGAAATATATACCTGTATTTTGATGGATGGTAATACATAAATGTAGGCCTCAAATGGATAGAAAGAAATACAGAAACATAGGCCTCAAATGGATAGAAAGAAATACAGAAACATAGGCCTCAAATAGATAGATAGAAATGCAGAAATATGTACCTGTATTTTGATGGATGGTAATACAGAAATGTAGGCCTCAAATAGATAGATAGAAATGCAGAAATATAGGCCTCTATTTTGATGGATGGTAATACAGAAATGTAGGCCTCTGTTTTGATGGATGGTAATACAGAAATGTAGGCCTCTGTTTTGATGGATGGTAATACAGAAATGTAGGCCTCTGTTTTGATGGATGGTAATACAGAAATGTAGGCCTCTATTTTGATGGATGGTAATACAGAAATATAGGCCTCAAATGGATAGATAGGAATACAGAAATATAGGCCTCTACTTCAATAGATGGTAATACAGAAATATATGCCTCTATTTTGATGGATGGTAATACAGAAATATAGGCCTCAAATGGATAGATAGGAATACAAAAATATAGGCATCTATATTGATAGGTTGCAATACACAAAATATAGGCCTCAAATGGATAGATAGGAATACAGAAATATAGGCCTCTATTTCAATAGATGGCAATACAGAAATATAGGCCTCTATTCGGATAGATGGAAATACAGAAATATGTTCTTCTACGTGGAGAGAAGGAAATACAGAAATATAGGTATCTATATGAAGAGACTGAAATGCAGAAATGTAAGCTTCAAAGCGATTAGACTGAAATACAGAAATGTAAGCCTTTATACGGATAGATGGAAATGCAGAAATGTAAGCCTCAAAATGGTTAGACTGAAATACAGAAATATATGTGTCTATACGAATAGATGGAAATACAGAAATATAAGCCTTAAAACGGTAAGACTGAAATACAGAAAAAATAGGCCACTATATGGATAGGTGGAAATACTGAAATGTGGCCTCTATATGAGGTAATGAAAAGAAAGAAATATTGACCTCTGAATAGTGAAATACATAAATACAGGCCTCTACACGGATAGATGGAAATACAGAAATATGTTCTTCTACATGGAGAGAAGGAAATACAGAAATATAGGTATCTGTAAGGAGAGACTGAAATACAGAAATATATGGATAGACAGAAATACAGATACATGAATACGTGATTATGAAATGATTTTGGAACTATATATCTTCATGTACTCAAACACTCTTGGAACAAAACAGATAACCAAGGATTACACAGTCATATTCGCTAATGTTCTACGGCAAAGGATTCTATGATATCTTTGTTTAACTGACAGGACTCTAGAACCAATAGTATAATAAATTGGTAACATACATATACTACCTTATCAACAAATTGATAATGTACATTCGGAAAATGTGACTATCATTTTTTTCTACATGAATTTAGAGAAACAGGGAAATGCATTTTTGAACATACATTTTATCATCTAATTTTATGTCATCAAAGAAAACTGGTAGACAAGGATTATATTATTATTGACCATTATGATTATAGATTTTACCCTTGACGACCGATCAACAATTGTGGGGTAACACAGAAAAACTGTTTAGTGTTATCACTTTTGTTAAATTAACTTTTGCGTGGATACACCATTAAATTCGACAATGAAAACTTGAAAAGTGAATAATGAAATTGACCAGATCCAATAGTAAAACGGTACTCGTCGTATCCATACGGATACCTATGGTTCTATGTGTCAATATTTCAACATTTCATATTGCCATATAGAGGCTAGTATTTTTGTTTCCTTCTCTCCATGTTGAGGTCAATATTTCAACATTTCCATATTGCCATATAGAGGCTAGTATTTTTAATATTTCAATCTCTCCATGTTGAGGTCAATATTTCAACATTTCCATATTGCCATATAGAGGCTAGTATTTTTAATATTTCAATCTCTCCATGTTGAGGTCAATATTTCAACATTTCCATATTGCCATATAGAGGCTAGTATTTTTAATATTTCAATCTCTCCATGTTGAGGTCAGTATTTCAAAATGTCCGTCTCTCCATATAGAAGCTAGTATTTCAGTATTTCCCACCCTCGACAAAGAGGCCAATATCTCAGTATCTCCATCTGTCCATGTTGAGGCCAATATTTCAGTATTTCATTCTCTCCTAGTTAATGCCAGTATTTCAAAATTTCCGTTGTATTCTAGTATTCAGTATTTCCCTCTCCCATTTCCCCTCTCCCTGAATATTTCCATGTTGAATGTTGAGGTCAGTATTTCAATATTTTCATCTCTTAATATAGAGACCAACAGTTCAACATTTTCATCTCTCCATATAGAGGCTTCTATTTCAGTATTTCCCTCTCTCCACACACTGGCCAGTGTCTCTATGTTGAATGTTGAGGCCAGTATTTCCCTCTCTCCACACACTGGCCAGTATTTCAATATTTCAATGTCTCTATGTTGAATGTTGAGGCCAGTATTTCCCTCTCTCCACACACTGGCCAGTGTCTCTATGTTGAATGTTGAGGCCAGTATTTCCCTCTCTCCACACACTGGCCAGTATTTCAATATTTCCATGTCTCTATGTTGAATGTTGAGACCAGTATTTCAATATTTTCATCTCTCCGTATGGAGGTCAATATTTCAACATTTCCAAATTAAGGCTAATATTTCAACCTCCCCATGTTGAGGCCAATATTTCAGTATTTCTCTATCTCCATGCTGAGGCCAATATTTCAGTATTTCTCTATCTCCATGCTGAGGCCAATATTTCAGTATTTCTCTATCTCCATGTTGAGGCCAATATTTCAGTATTTCTCTATCTCCATGTTGAGGCCAATATTTCCAGTATTTCGTAGAGTCCACATTTCTCTATCTCCATGTTG